TGTTAGGGAAACAGTAGGTATATGAAAAACACCACGAGTTGAAATTGAATGTGATAGAAACAGATTGGTAAAAAAGGATTTCAGGTTTTTTGAACAGTAGGTTTCAGGATGTTACCAGCCTAAGCAATCTTCGATATTCAGTTTCACTAGGGGATCATTTAACTTTAGATCAATTCAAACTGAAAGGTTCCTGAACTCTTTAGATGAAAAACATCCAGGAAACGCTGAGTAGGTAAAGAGCACATGACCATGGGTTTTTGTGTTAAATACCATGACCTAAAGCAGCTTGGAGAGAAAAAGATTCATTTCTTCTTATACTTCCAACTCACACTCTATCATTGAGAAAAGTGAGAGCAGGGATTCAAATAAGAAATGAGACAGAGGCCAAGGAGGAACACTGCTTACTTATTTGGTCTCTCTGAAACCTGCTCAGTTGGTTCATTTTTACAACACAAGGACACCTGCCCCAGGTTGGCACTACCCACAGTGGGCTGGTGCCTTTCCCTATATCAATCAACAACCAAGAAAATCCCTCAGAGAGAGAGCAACAGGCTCATCTGTCCTGACTGGTTCTTGGTGGCATCACATGACAATAAAAACTAACCATGACAGTGATACATCGGGGCTTTTCTAGCTGATTTCTTTTAGTCATTAAGATTCTTTAGTTAATTATCATGTCTTCATTTAAAAGGTGCATCATCGATTAGCTGGCTTCCATTTAATTATTCTTCTAGACTTTTCCTTATACCCTAAGTTACAAGTTCTGCTGAGACACACCGGCATTTTTTTCTCTCTCACCTATTGCATTTCCCTACTTCTTCTTTGTAAAAAATATTTCCTCTTCTATTTTACTATTGTTATTCCCTGTTAAAACTGCTGATGATCTTATTTTTATGTTTCTCTTTCAGCTCCCGTGTAGTTTCCTTCATATTCAGTTCATTCATTCTTTATGCTTTTTATATTATTATTATTTTTATTAATTACAGTTTATTCGCTTTGTATCCCCTCTGTACTGCCCGCCCTCTTCCCCTCCCAATTCTATCCTCCCTTTCTCTTTCCCACCTGTGCCCCTCCCCCAGCCCAATGATAAGGGAGGTCTTCCTCCCCTTCCCTCTGATCCTAGTCATTAGGTCTCATCAAGATTGGCTGCATTGTGTTCCTCTGTGGCCTGGTAAGGCTGCTCCCCCCTCAGGTGGAGGTGATCAAAGAGGAGGCCAAGCAGTTCATGTCAGAGATAGTCCCTGTCCCCATTACTATGGAACCCACTGGGACACTGAACTGATATGGGATAACTGTGTAGTGGTTCCGTGCTATCTCCATAAATGGTCCTTGTTTGGAGTATCAGTCTCAGAAAAGACCCCTGTTCCCAGACTTTTTGGATCTGTTGCTCTCCTTGTGGAGATCCTGTCCTCTCCAGATCTTACTATCTCTGACTTCTTTCATAAGATTCCCTGCATTCTGCACAAAGTTGGCTAAGAGTCTCAGCATCTCCTTTGATACCCTGCAAGGTAGAGACTTTCAGAGGCCCACTGTGTTAGACTCCTGTCCTGTTCCCTGTTTTCTCCCTCCTCCGCTGTCCATCCCTTTGAATGGGGATTGAGCATCTTAGCCAGAGTCCTCCTTCTTGATTAGCTTCCTTAGCTATACAGATTTTAATATGATTATCGTATATTATATGACTAATATCCACTTACGAGTGAGTATATTCCCTGTGTGTCTATCTGCTTCTGGTATAGCTCACTCAGGATGATCTTTTCCAGTTCTCACCATTTACCTGCAAATTTCATGATTTCCTTGGTTTTTTTGTTTGTTTGTTTGTTTTTATTGCTGAATAATATTCCATTGTGAAGATGTACCACAATTTCTGTATCCATTCCTCAACCAAGGAGCATCTTGGCTGTTTCCAGCTTCTGGCTATTACAAATAAAGCTGCTACAAACATGGTTGAGCAAATGTCCTTGTTGTATACTTTAGCGTCTTTTGGATATATGCCTAGGAGTGGTATAGCTGTATCTTGAGGAAGCGCTATTCCGAATTGTCTGAGAAAGCACCGGATTTATTTATTTATTTATTTATTTATTTCCAAAGTGGTTGTACAAGTTTACACCAACAATGGAGTAGGGTTCCCCTTTCTCCACATCTTCTTTAGCATATGTTGTCACGAATTTTTTATCTTAGCCATTTTGATTGGTGTAAGGTGAAATGTCAAACTCATTTTGATTTGCATTTCCCTGATGACTAAGGATGTTGAGCATTTCAGTGTTTTTAGCCATTCAATATTCCTCTATTGAGAATTCTATGTTTTGCCCTGTACCCCATTTTTAATTGGGTTCCTTGATTAGTTACTGTTTAACTTCTTGAGTTCTTTACATATGCTGGATATTAGCCCACTGCCAGATATAGGGTTGGTGAAGTTGGCAGTCATTTTGTTCTTATGAGAGTGTCCTTTGCTTTACAGAAGATTTTCAGTTTCATGAAGTCCCATTTGTTGATTGTTGATCTTAGAGCCTGTGCTGTTGGTGTTCTGTTCAGGAAGTTGTGTCCTGTGCAAATGAGTTCAAGGGTATTCCCCACTTTTTATTCTAACAGGTATAGTGTGTCTGGTTTTATGTTGAGGTCTTTGATCCACTTGGACTTTAGCTTTGTGCAGGATGATAAGTATGGATCTATTTGCATTTGTCTACATGTAGACATCCAGCTAGACCAGCACCATTTGTTGAAGATGCTATGTTTTTTTTCCAATGTGTGGTTTTGGCATCTTTGTCAAAAATCAGGTATCCATAAGTGCGTGGGTTTATTTCTGGGTCTTCTATCCGATTCCATTGATCCACCTCTCTGCTTCTGTGCCAGTACCATGCAGTTTTTATTACTGTTGCTCTGTAGTACAGCTTGAGATCAGGGATGGAGATACCTCCAGAAGATCTTGAATTGTAAAGGATTGTTTTAGCAATTCTGGGTTTCTTGTTATTCCATATGAAGTTGAGAATTTTTCTTTCCAGGTCTGTAACGAATTGTGTTGGTAATTTGATGGGAATTGCATTGATTGCTTTTGGTAAGATGTCCATTTTTTTTAGAGATATTATTATTATTATTATTATTATTATTATTATTATTATTATTAATTACACTTTATTCATTTTGTATCCCCCCCATAAGCCCCTCCCTCCTCCCCTCCAGATCCCACCCTACCTCCCCTTTCTTCATGCATGCTCCTCCCCACATCCACTAATAGAGGAGGTCCTCCTCTCCTCCCTTCTGATCTTAGTCTATCAGATCACATCAGGAATGGCTGCATTGTCTTCTTCTGTGGCCTGGTAAGGCTGCTCCCCACTCAGGGGGAGGTGATCAAAGAGCAGGCCAATCAGTTTATGTCAGAGGCAGTCCCTCTTCCCATCACTATGTAAGCCACCTGGACACTAAACTGCCCTGGGCTACATCTGTGCAGGGGTTCTAGGTTATCTCCATGAATAGTCCTTGGTTGGAGTATGAGTCTTTGGGAAGTTCCCTGTGTTCAAATTTTCTTGTTCTGTTGCTCTCCTTGTGGAGTTCCTGTCCTCTCCAGCGCTTGCTATTTCCCACTTGTTACATAAAATTCCATTCACTCTGCCAGACAGTTGGCCATCAGGCTCAGCATCTGTTTTGATAGTCTGCAGGGCAGAGGCTTTCAGATGCCCTCTGTGACAGGTTCCTAGGTTGTTTTCCTGTTTTCTTCTTCTGGCTTTCATAGGCCCTCTGTAGCAGGTTCCTAGGTTGTTTCCTGTTTTCTTCTTCTTCTGATGTCCATCCTCTTTGCCTTTCAGGATGGGGATTGAGTGTTTTAATTAGGGTCCTCTCTTTTGCTTAGTTTGTTTAGATGTACCGATTTTAGTGGGTTTATCCTATGTTGTATGTTTATATGAGTGAGTATATACCATGTGTGTCTTTCTGCTTCTGGGACAACTCACTCAGGATGATCCTTTCCAGGTCCCACCATTTACCTGCAAATTTCATGATTTCCTTATTTTTCATTGCTGAGTAATACTCCATTGTATAGATGTACCACAGTTTCTGCATCCATTCTTCAGTTGAGGGGCATCTGGGCTGTTTCCAGTTTCTGGATATTACAAATAAAGCAGATACAAACATGGTTGACAAAATGTCTTTTTTGTGTACTTGAGCCTTTTTTGGATATATGCCTAGGAGTGGTATGGCTGGATCTTGAGGAAGCGCTATTCCTAGTTGTCTGAGAAAGCGCCAGATTGATTTCTAGAGTGGTTGTACAAGTTTACATTCCCACCAGCAGTGGAGGAGGGTTACCCTTTCTCCACAACCTCTCCAGCATGTGTTGTCACTTGAGTTTTTCATCTTGGCCATTCTGATCAGTGTAAGGTGAAATCTCAGGGTTGTTTTGATTTGCATTTCCCTGATGGCTAATGAGGTTGAGCATTTCTTTAAGTGCTTCTCTGCCATTCGATATTCCTCTGCAGAGAATTCTCTCTTTAGCTCTGTTCCCCATTTTTTAAGTGGATTACTTGGTTTGCTGCTTTTCAGCTTGTTTAGTTCTTTATATATACTGGATATGAGTCCTCGGTCAGATAAAGGGTTGGTGATGATTCTTTCCCAATCTGTAGGCAGTCGCTTAGTTTTGATGATGGTGTCCTTTGCTTTACAGAAGCTTTTCAGTTTTATGAGGTCCCATTTATTGATTGTTGCTCTTAGAGCTTGTGCTGTTGGTGTTCTGCTCAGGAATTTCTCTCCTGTACCAATGAGTTCTAGGGTATTCCCCACTTTTTTTCTAGCCGGTTTAATGTGTCTGGTTTTATGTTGAGGTCTTTGATCCACTTGGACTTCAGTTTTGTGCGGGGTGATAGGTAAGGATCTATTTTCATTTTTCTACATGTAGACATCCAGTTAGACCAGCACCATTTATTGAAGATGCTATCTTTTTTCCATTGTATGGTTTTGGCATCTTTGTCAAAAAGTGCTCAGAGCAGGATCCTTCTGACTGAACACCGTACAATATGAGTGCTCAGACTCCACCCACACTCCTGAATCTGGCAAGGCAGGCTCTGCTGAGAGATGAGACCTTGGACATGTCAGCTCTGGACAAACTGCCCATGGAGCTCTTGCCAGCACTGTTCAAGGAGGCTTTGACTGGCAGACACGCTACAACTGTGAAGGCAATGGTGGCAACCTGGCCTTTCCCTTATCTTCCTGTTGGGGCATTGATGAAGACCCCTGACTTGGAAACCTTCCAGGCAGTTCTAGCAGGAGTAGACATGCAGCTGCAAAGAAAGTTTCACTCCAGGAGGGGAAAACTTCAGGTTCTTGACCTGAGGAAGAAGCACCATGAATTCTAGAGCATATGGGCTAGTGCAGAGGATGGTAACTGCTCACCAGAGACCCCAGAGGAGCATCAAGTAGTGAAGGTCCTTCCCAGATATGCACTGAGGCGGCACCTGAAGGTGGTAGCTGACCTTTGGTTCAGTCCATGTATAGATGAAGAACAAACATGCTTATTGAATTGGGCCCAGCTGAGAAAGGGCTCTGTCCAGTTCTGCTGTATGAAGATGAAGATCTGGGCTCTGCCTTTGCATGTTACCCGAGGGGTCTTCAATGTTTTACATCCAGAGCACATCGAGGATTTGGAACTGATCATGATCAGTTGGGATGTTTTAAAGCTGTCACAACTTGCTCCTTCCCTGGGCCAGATGAGAAATCTTTGCAAACTCATCCTGGCACCCATCATCAAGAATGTTTTCATGATTGGTAACAGGGCAAGAGACAGAGAGGAGAATTGTGTCAGGAAGTTCATTTCTCAGTTCTCCAAACTCAACTGTCTCCAGCATCTCTCCATGAATGGCATCTACTTTCTTAGAGATCACCTGGATCAGATTCTTGGGTGCCTGATGACCCTGTTGGAGACCTTGTCCATCACCTACTGTAGCATTTCACAGTCAGGCCTGAATTACTTGTCCAGGTGCCCAAAGCTCTTTCAGCTGAAACATCTGGACATGAACTATGTGGGCTGAAAGGATTTGGACCTTATGCCTCTCCAAGTCCTCCTAGTGAATGTGGCAGATACTTTGCTGTCCCTGGACTTGAAGGCTTGTAAGATGAAGGACTCTCAGCTCACTGTGCTCATACCTGACCTCAGCAAGTGCTCCCAGCTGGCCAAGGTCAATTTCTATAGCAATGACTTCTCCATTCCCATCCTCAGGGACCTTTTGCAGCACACAGCCAACTTGAGCAAGATGAATGTGGAAGTGTACCCTGCCCCTCTCGAGTGCTATGATGACTTCGGTTATGTTTCCACAGAGAGATTTGTCCAACTCTGTGCAGAGCAAATAGATAGACTCAGGGCCATAAGACAGCCCAAGTACATCTCCTTTGCTACAAATATGTGCCCTAGATGTGGAGGGCCCTGTGTCTATGACCAAGGATTCAGACTCTGTCGTTGCCAGCAGAGGTGACTGCTGGCAAACAGGACTTCTGGATTGGAAGAAATGAAAGGCTGAAGACCCATCTCTCATGCTGGGTACTGAGAGCTTCAGACACTCTTCATATTTTTGGAAACAAAATGATGTACATTGAGTTGGATTTTGGAGACTGAAGTTGACATGGGAGACAATGCAATTGTGGGAAGAGAGGATCTTGTGGAGTGAGAAAGGCCACTTTACATTTATAAGTGGTTACTGTCAGGACAGGATAACCAGTGGCTTTGTCCTGCAGTTGTAAACCTGGATGCTCTCCCTCTTGCTCCTTTTTCAGTTATAACCCTCACTGCCAAGTTCAGGGTCAGGAGGGGTCAGTGACTCCCCGACCCCAGGGAAAAAACACCACTCATGAGTGAGGCAAAGGTCCAGGTCATCAATAAAACTAAAGTTTTGGTGAAAAAAAAAAAAAAGAAGATGCTATCTTTTTTCCATTGTATGGTTTTGGCACCTTTGTCAAAAATCAGGTGTCCATAAGTGTGTGGATTTATTGCTGGGTCTTCTGTTTGGTTCCATTGATCCACCATTCTGTTTCTATGCCAGTACCATGCAGTTTTTATAACTGTTGCTCTATAGTACAGCTTGAGATCAGGGATGGAGATACCTCCAGAAGATCTTTTATTGTGGAGGATTGTTTTAGCAATTCTGGGTTTCTTGTTACTTCAAACGAAGTTGAGAATTTTTCTTTCCAGTTCTGTAAAGAATTGTTTTGGCAATTTGATGGGAATTGCATAAAATCTGTAAATTGCTTTTGGTAAGATAGCCATTTTTGCTATGTTAATCCTGCCAAGCCATGAGCATGGGAGATCTTTCCATCTTCTCATATCTTCCTCTAATTCTTTCTTCAGAGACTTGAAATTTTTTTCATACAAGTCTTTGACTTGCTTGTTTAGGGTTACACTAAGGTATTTTATGCCATTGTGGCTATTGTGAAGGGTGTTGTTTCCCTAATTTCTTTCTCAGCCCTTTTGTCTTTGTATACAGGAGGGCTACTGATTTTTTTGAGTTAATTTTGTATCCAGTCACTTTGCTGAAGGTGTTTATCAACTATAGGTGTTCCCTGGTAGAATTTTTGGGGTATCTCATGTATATTATCATATCATCTGCAAATAGTGATAATTTGACTTTTTCCTTTTCAATTTGTATCCTCTTGATCTCTTTTAGTTGTCTTATTGCTCCTCCAGCCAGGACTTTAAGAACTATTTTGAGGAGATATGGAGAGGTGGGCAGCCTTGCCTTGTCCCTGATTTCAGTGGGATTGATTTAAGTTTCTCTCTGTTTATTTTGATGTTGGCTATAGCTTGCTGTATATTTCCTTTACTAAGTATAGGTATGTGCCTTTTTTTTCCCTGATATTTCAATACTTTAAACATGAATGGATGTTGGATTTTGTCAAACGCTTTTTCAGCATCTAGGGAGATTATCATGTGTTTTTTTTCTTTCAGTTTGTTAATATGGTGGATCACATTGCTGGATTTCTGTATATTGAAGCACCCCTGCATACCTGGGATGAAGCCTACTTGGTCATAGTGGATATTGATATGATCTTGTATTCGGTTTGCAAGTATTTTGTTGAATATTTTTGCATCAATGTTCATAAGGGAAATTGGCCTGAAATTATCTTTCTTTTTGGGTCTTTATGAGGTTTAAATACCAACGTGACTGTGGCTTCATAGAATGAGTTTGGTAGTGTTCCTTCTGTTTCTATTTTGCGGAATAGTTTGAAGAGAATTGGTGTTAGCTCTTGTTTGAAGATCTGGTAGAATTCTGCACTGAAACCATCTGGCCCTGTGCTTTTTTTTGGATGGGAGACTTTTGATGACCGCTTCTATTTCCTTAGGAGATATAGGATTATTTAATTGGTTTACCTGGTCTTGATTTAGCTTTGGTAATTGGAATCGATCAAGGAAATTATCCATTTCATTTAGATTTTCAAATTTTGTGGCATATAGACTTTTGAAGTAAGTCCTAATGATTGTTTGGATTTTCTCAGTGTCTGTTGTTATGTCCCCCTTTTCATTTCTGATTTTGTTGATTTGGATGGTGTCTCTGTGACTTTTAGTTAGCTTGGCTAAGAGTTGGTCTATCTTGTTGATTTTCTCAAAGAACCAGCTCTTGTTTTCATTGATTCTTTGAATTGTTTTATTTGTTTCTAATTTCTTGATTTCATCCCTGAGTTTGATTATTTCTAGCCGCCTACTCTTATTTGATGTGTATGCTTTTTTCCCTCCCCCTAGGCTTTTAGGTGAGCCACTAAGTTGCTTGAATGAGATTTTTCAAATTTCTTCTTGAAGGCACTTAGTGCTATAGATTTTCTTCCTATTACTGTTTTCATCGTGTCTCATAAGTTTGGGTATGTTGTGCCTTCATTTTCATGGAATTCTATAAAGAATTTAATTTCTTTCTTTATTTCTTCCCTGACCTAGCTGTCACTGAGTAGTGAATTGTTCAGTTTCTATGTGTTTGTAGCCTTTTTGCTAGTTCTGTTGTTGTTGATGTCCAGCTTTAGTCCATGGTTGTCAGATAGGATAAAAGGGATTATTTTAATCTTATTGTGTCTGTTGAGGCTTGCTTTGTGAACAACTATATGGTTTATTTGTAGAAGACTCCATGAGGTGCTGAGAAGCAGGTAAATTATTTGTGTTTGAGTGAAATGTTCTGTAGATGTTTGTTAGGTCCATTTGATTCATGACCTCTGTTAGAGTCATTGTTTCTTTGTTTAATTTCTGTTTTGTTGACCTATCCTTTGTTGAGAGTGGGGTATAGAAGTCTCCCAATATTAATGTGTGGGGATCTATATGTGGTTTAAGATTTATTAATGCTTCTTTTTCAAATGTGCATGTCCTTCTATTTGGAGCTTACATGTTCAGAATTGTCATCTTGGTGGAAGTTTCCTTTGATGACTATGAAGTAACCTTCTTCATCTCTTTGATTAATATTGGTTGAAAGTCTATTTTATGAGATATTAGAATGGTTACTCCTGCTTGCTTCTTGGGTCCACATGCTTGGAAAACTGTCTTCTAGACATTTACTCTCAGGTAATGTCTATCTTTGTGACTTAGGTGTGTTTCTTTTATGCAACATATTTTTGGGTGTTGTTTATGCATCCATTTTGTTAGTCTGTGTCTTTTTATTGGAGAGTTGAGTCCATTCATGTTGAGAGAGATTAATGACCAGTGGTTTTTATATCCTTTGATTTTGAAGTAGGTTGTGGTAGAGGGTTTGTGTACCTGGCTACTTTTAGTTTTGCAGTAGTGAGGTTTCTTTGTTTACCTGACTGTACTTAGCTTTCCTGGGTTGTATTTTCCTTCTAGTATCTTCTGTAACAATGGATTTGTGGGTAGGTATTGTTGAAATTTGTTTTTGTCATTGAATATCTTGTTTTCTCCATCTATGAGGACTGAGAGTTTTGCTGGTTATAGTGCTTGGGCTGACATCTGTGTTCTCTTAGGGTCTGCGTGATATTCGTCCAGGCCCTTCTGGCTTTCGAAGTCTCTGTTGAGAATTCCGGTGTGATTCTGATGGGTTTGCCATTATATGTTACTTGGCCTTTTTCCCTTGCAGCTTTTAGTATTTTTTCTTTGTTCTGTATACTAACTGTTTTGATTATTATGTGGCAGGTGATTTTCTTTTCTGTCCTAATTTATTATGTGTTCTGTAGGTCTCTCCTTTAAGTTGGAGAAATTTTCTTCTATGAGTTTTTTGAAAATATTTTCTGGACCTTGGAGATTGGAATCTTCTTTTCCCTCTATTCCTGATATTCTTAGGTTTTGTCTTTTTGTGTTGTCTTGGATTTCTTGGATGGTCTGTGTCTGGAATTTTTCAGATTTGTTATTTTCTTTGATGAATATATCGATTTCTTCCATTGTATCTTCCACACCTGAGATTCTTCCATCTTTTGTAGTCTGTTGGTTATGCTTACCTCTACAGTTCCTGTTTTCTTTCCTAGGTTCTCCCTCTCCATGATTTCCTCAGTTTGTGCTTTTTTAAATTTTTCCAATTCTATATTCAGATCTTAAGCCATTTTGTTGATTTCCTTCACCTGTCTGACTGTATTTTTCTTCAATTCCTTCACCTGTTTGTTTGAACATTTCTCTGTTTCTTTTATTTATTTCAGTGATTTAATCATTTCTTCTCTGAAGGCCACAAACTGTTTTGCTCCATCTTCCTGTATTTTGTTATATATGGTTATAATCTATTTGATTTTATCTTCCTCTATTTCTTTATGCATTTTATTTGTTTTCTCCATTATTCTCTTCATAAGCATAGATGTAAGGTCATCTTCTAGAATATCATTTATGTTAGGGTGTCCGGGGTTACCCCTGGATACCTGGGGTCTGGGGATGCCATACTGCTTTGCCTTTTGTTGGTTTTGCTTTTACACTGGCCTCTACCCATCTGTCTGTCTCAGTTGTTGTCTGTTAATTTCTCATGCCTGCTGGAGTCCTGTTGTGGGAGAATCCCTTTGGCAGTGTTCTGAAGCAGCTCTACTCAGCTTTTTGAGTATGGTCAACTGAATGGTGGCCCTTCTCAGGAATTGTCACAGCTTACCTCAGGCATATGGTCATGTGTTTTTACTGTGGTGTTCAGGAAGGCCCTCCTCTTATCAAGAAAAGTCCTGGAGATAGCTGCTCTGCTGCTGGATTTCTTGCTCTGAATTTAGTGTTCTGCTGCTGCTGAGCTGTACTTGCTGGTCGCAGCCTTCATGAAGAACCATGGAGTCCTGTGGTTTCGTCTGTTTAGCTTGTGATAACTGGTCACACTTTGGAGCAGTATCTGAGGGCTGCTCCAATGGCTCTCAGGCTTTTGTAGGTCTGAGGTTGAGCGGTGTACTCCAGTACCCTACCCGTAATCCATGGCAGGTGAGCACAGCAATTGTGTGTGCAATTGAAGGCCAGAGCTTAGGGCCTGTGGGAAGCCAGAAGCTTTTCTGGAGCTTGGTGTCTTGAGGGTTGGAACCTATGTTTTCCATGAGTCTG